GCTAAAGTGAACGATATTTGCTAATGGTGGGCTTGAGTTGTTACAAATAGTATCAGAGCCAGACATCGGGCGATGTGTCAACGAGGACGCTAGCCCTTAAGAGAGATGGATTGTGAGATTCCACATCGATAGAAGAGGGAAACGAAACATTCCTCATAAGGGCATGGAAACTCTCCTTAGTAGACGCGTTTTATAATCGTGAAACTAACGATGTACGTAATGGGTCAAAGCAAACAATATTTGCTAGTAGTGGACTTGTGCTGTTGTTCCAGATGGTATTAGAGTCAGACACCGAGACGGTGTGCTAGCAAGGACGCTGAATGTCACGGTCATGTTTGTCCAAGACATGTCACCCATGACCGTTGTCAAGAAAGGGCGATTGTGACACTGGGCCTCTAAGGGGTGGATCGTGAGACCCCCACATTCGTTGGAGATGAGAACAAAACATTTCTAATAAGAGTGTGAAAAACTCTCCCTACTAGACGCGTTTTATAATCGTGAGGTTGACGACAATACGTAACGGGCCAAAATGGACAATATTTGAAATTTACCATTTTATTAGTTTACCTAATTCTACTTTTTCTTTCCTTAAAATTATCTTATTTTTTTCCGAAAAACAAACCAAACACTTATCTTCTCAACTTTGGTGATCTAATTCCCAAGTTCATGGCATTTTGTCGATTAGTTGTTGAACTAATTAATCTAAAGGGTTTCTTCAAGATCATATCAATGGCGGCCTTCACAAACCAAATTACCTTAAACCTCCAACCTATATATAAACAACTCTCATGATGCCTTCCATATATCACCATCTTACCTTCAAAACCATCTCAATGGCTTCTTCCAAGTTCTTGATCGTTGTCTTCATGGCTACTTTGGCTCTTTCGAGTATCGACATCGGTCAAGCTGCCCGCCATCTCTTGCAAACTACTCCGCCCTTGGTGCCGAACTTGCCCGTCGTTCCAACGGGGATACCTCCATTGCCTGCTCTTCCAAATCTACCACAACCCACATTGCCTTTTCCGAGCTTCCCGGTTAACATCCCGAGCGGGGCTGCACTCCCCCCGCTCCCGACAATGGCGTCGATCCCTACCATTCCAGCTTCATTTCCTTCCATCCCATTTTTGTCTCCTCCGCCTGCAGCTTCTTCTTCCCCCTAAGCTTGGTTGGTTATTTGCAGCCATGATTCTTGTTGGGTAGTTTGTGTGTGGAGTTTAAGGTTTTATTATTATCACAATTGTTGTGTGTTTTCAATATTCGTGTCGGTTTGTAAGATTGAAGTTCATTCTCGTTATTATATTGTTCAAGCTTTTAAATTTCAATTCAACGGGATCTCTTTCTTTTTCTATTTCTCTCTCACACTACGAAAAATAATAGATACGATCAGCAACGAAAAATGTTCATTCCAACGTGACGATAACTTAGGGTTAAAATGAAAATTAGAAACATTAAGGATATAATTGAAACATATCTTAAAGTTTAATGATATAATTAAAACATGTCACCTTTATTACGTCAACGTGTACCATTATTTTATAGGTCATTGTCATGTTTTTTCATCTTCATTTAACAAAAAAGTTGCGTTAATTTAAAGTTTTAAAAATGATATTTGTAAATGTTGAGGAGTATAATTAAAAATTAGTACAAAAAAAATAGGCCTCTTCCAAAGTTCTTGACCATTACCTTCATTGTTGCTTTGACGCTTTCAAGCATCGACGTCGGTCGAGCTGCCCACCATCTTTTATAAATTGGTTCGCCCACGCTACCGAACTTGCCAGTGGTTCCAATAGGGTTGCCGTCGTTGCCTGCCTTGCCAAACCCTACTCTTCCGAATATGCCACAACCCACATTGCCTAGGGTTAATCTCCCTCCGCTTCCGAGCTTCCCGGTGAACATCCCGACTGGGGTCGGGCTACCTCCGCTTCCAACAATGGCGCTTCCAAACTTGCCTTCATTCCCTACTATCTCCTCCACCTGCAACTTCTTCCCCATAAGCTTGTTTGAATATGAGAGTGGGATAGCGTTTTATTATAACCAAAATTGTGTGTTTTCATTCATGTTTTCTCGTAAGATTGGAGCGTTTTTTTTCCATAAGATATCGTGTTTCATTTAATGAACCTTATTATACATGTATGATTGTTTTGAATTTTGACTTTAAAATTGACAAAATAATAGAAAATTTGTATCAAACGTACGACACACGAACCAAACATTATTCAGCTGATTAAAACATATGTCATCGACCGAATGAAATAATGACATGACAACTAATTATTGTCCAATTGGTCGAGACACATATCATCGATTAAAAAGGTTGAAGTAAAAAAATAAAAAATAATAATAATAATAATATATAATAAAAAAATATTTTCGTAAACGGTAGCTAACCTACAAATGCTTCCCCCTGGTTGGTAAGCTGATATGGTGGCCAAACTCACCCAACCCTTTTATTTCTTAAGCTATATAAACCCAATGTTAACCCTTGGTTTGCACCATATCCCAACTCACAAACCCAACAAAATGCCCTCTTCCAACTACTTCATCATGGCTTTCATGGCTACTTTGGTGTTTTCAGCCATCGACACCGGCCGAGCCGCTCGTCGTCTCCTTCAAACCGCTCAGCCGAGCGTGCCAGGGTTGCCCTCGTTGCCGCCTCTACCGCCCTTCCCGACGGTACCGGGAATGCCCTCTATTCCTAATCTCCCACAGCCTACGTTGCCAACTACTCAACCTTCTCTCCCTAAGATGCCTCCTCTTCCTAGCTTCCCCGGTAGCATCCCGACCGGAGTGACATTGCCTCCACTCCCGACTCTACCGTCCTTCCCAATGACTTTCCCGTCGATCCCTTTCCTCACACCGCCCCCGGCCGCTACCTCTTCACCTTGATGGAGTCCTAGCTAGTTCCTTTGTGTGATTGTTCTTAATTATACTTATGGTTTTGACATACCATTCTATCCTTTCATGTTATTGGTTATATTTGGAGTTTGTTTAAAAGTTTGTCTTGTACTGTGTTCTATTTTTTAATGATATGATGTGGATTTTTTTTTTTTTTTTTTTTTTTAAATACATT